GAGGTCAATTCATTTCATTAAGCTACTGATTTTGTAGGAAACAAAATCAGCAACATATGCTCAAGATATTGAACCAAATCATCCATGAACTTTGAGCATTATGACCTTATGATCCAACTCAAACAAGAATCAAGCAAACTGTCTAGAAAACACAATCAAGCGATGATCTAAATGAGGGCAAATGACATGAAATTGAGACTGATACAACATGGTACAAAATGAGCCATGGAAATTTGACATATGGACCTAAATCTTCACGAACTTGAAGCAAATTGAATATAAACACTTCCAATTCTTGAGTCAAAAGCTAGCGATGAAATCCATTATTGCTATATTTCACATTCAACCATGAATAACAAAAAAAAAAGAAAAGAAAAGAAAAAGGGTATCACCGGCTATTATGAACCAAATACAAAATACACATGCATAAAACTACGAGCCAATCCATAAGAACAAATAACATCTCAACATTGTCATTTAACATTTGTGAGCCAATCTTTAAAAAAGAAGAATATCTACATTCAAGTTCATACAATTCTTCAAAATTGCATGTGATAAACAAAATAAATGACTACGCCCGATAGTCATTCTACATCAGCTCAGCTAGTTCATCCCTTTTCCTTCTCCACTCATCCCTCGCTCGTTGTGACCTACCCCATACTATATCGAATTCTTGATCGATATTGTTCTCATCTTACACCCTACTTCCTCAATATTATCCATGGTAAATTGATCGCCCTCTACCTCCCTGATGAGGTTATGTAAAATTCAACAAGCTATGACAATCTTAGCTTGTGTTTGAACATTGTACATTGATGGTGTTTTGAGGACAGGGAAATACCCTTTTACCACTCCAAAAGCGCGTTCTACAATATTCCTTAACGATTAATGGTGTAGGTTAAATAATTCTCTAGCAGATTGAGGGGTAGAACTAGTCTTAAAAGCATTCAAGTGGTACCGAGTACGACGATATGGAATGAGGAAATCAGTTGTCTCTTACCCTTGGGATGAACCAGCCTATTTTTTCAACTGATTGTGGAGTGCAGTACTGGTGCATCAGATGTTGATCCTTCCCAACCAGCAAGTACGTATTGGAATTTCATATCGAAAGTGACCGCTGCCATAACATTTAGTGCTATAAATTGCTTCATGTTACGAAACCTTGCATGTTCGTGAGCAGTAATATGGGCTGGGATGTATGTCCCATCGATTGCACCAACACAATCCTATTTAAATTCATCATAAATAAGGTAGTAAGCATGATATTAGGAAGCTCTACATATTTAAAAACAAAGTGAGATTGTGATAGATAATCCACCACAAAGAAGGTAGTCATGGTGGCATTATGAAGGCTCTACATATCTGAAAATAATGTGAGATTGTGATAGGCAATCACCTTAAAATATGGGGCAAATGACTGTTATTGCGTATCTCTGGAGGAGTTGTGGAGCTAGCATGTTCACAAAGTTTGAGTAGAAGCTCATATAGCATTGAAATGTAAACTAACCATTTCGCCAGAATGAGAAAATCGGTTGCCGATCACTCTCTTTTTAACATTGTGGCTAAGAGTGTGCATAAATATTACTAAGTGTTCTTCTACAGACACCCTTCTTGTGGGACGCAAAAGGCCTCTATCCCGTAAGATGTTACGAAGATAAACAGAGGCACACTTACTCAATCTAAATTTGTTCCGACATTGTATATCTGATACATTAATGATTCCATCTATGTATTTGTTTTTTTCTAGGTCCCTATCCATATTTGGTTATCTATCTATGTAACTTGTATGGTACTAGGCCGCAGCTGTATATTTGGTTTTCTATTTATGTAACTTGTATGATACCAGGCCGCAGCTGCAGTACACGTAGTTGCAACTACCAACATAAGCATGGTTAACATATCAAATTCATCGTCCTCTTCTGTTTCCATTTCATTAGTCCAAACATTTTCCCCATAGTTGTTAGACATCTATCATTTTCCCCATGGCTGTTAGACATCTTCCGTTCTCAGATAATTCATTCTTAAAAACTACATAGAACTTAAATAACTTGCAAGAATATAAGAAACAAAGCTAAACATCAAATGTGAAACTAAACAGTAAAGTACGAACAATAAAGAAGTCGTTATACTAAAATCCAAATGCATCCAAATTGGAATGGAGATGCACAATATTAGTTCCAATCGCAAAAACATAGTCTCCCAAAATGTAGTGTTCACACTATAAAAATCCATGCCCCAAATTTGGTAATATCCAAGATAATATAAATCCATGCCCCAAAATGCATGTACCCAAACAGGCCCTTAGCGAATTCCACTTCAAATCTTTTATGGCATTTTAAGCATATTGGTTATGTGGTGTATGAAGCATAAAAATGTATGCAGTATGGACTATCTAGCTCGGTATGGTTGCTAGTGTAGTTTAAGGCAGAATTAGGCTATTTTGGTGGGTTGGAGGCTAGATTTTTGGACCAGGAAAATTTAGGGTAGGCAAGTAGGTCTAGATCATTTTCGGGCACATTGGAGACCAATGAGTAGGTCTACTAGAGTTCATTGCCAGTCAAGAATAGGAATATCTTCTTCTAATTTTGTAATACTTGTAATGCATCTTTGATCTAATAATATACAATACTCTTGTCAAAAAAAAGTAAAAAAGAATAGGAATATCTTCCAAATGGAAGCCGGTACCAGTGACCTCAGGGAACCATGAAACATTGAGGATGGGATTAAAAAATGGTAATAGAAAGTTGTATTCCAAATGTTATGCAATTTGTAAATCATATGAGGCAAATATGGAAATTTCCAGTTGCCCGACAACATTGAATTTTTTAATTAGTCAGACTCGGGTCTAATCCGTGTAACTTGGGCCCGACTCAAGCTTGGATCAAGTGTTGGGTCCAGCTTTAAGTTAGGCCTCATCAGGTTAGATCGTGGTACTTGACCCATTCCCACCCGCAGCGATGGAATAGTGGACCCCATCAAAAAGTCACTAAATTTATAGGAAAAGTTTATATAAGGTTGCAACTTTAAAATGTAGCAGTACAGATGCACCTCAAAAATCAATCGAAAAAGATTTTTTTAATGTTGCAAGACCCTCTAATTGATCATCTCGACATCTAGATGTATGAATGTGTAAAAAAAAAGAAGTTGAGTCATATAAATAATGCATCTTACAACACATTATCTAGACCGTCCATTCTCAAGACTTTCACATTGTATAGATCTACATGATTTTAACTATTTTTGGAGTTTAAAATTTTATAATTAGATATGAAAATGCATATTTAGATAATACTAATAATATTTTACACCAAAATTACATGTTATAATAAAATTTGGTGGTGCGCCTTAGTTGGATTGTTTAAGGTTGCAACCTTATTGAAACCGCACCCCTAATTTATTGGCACATACCACTATCCCTCTACCACCGTCAAACACATTTGAACCGACGGTGACGATCCACATGGTCACTTTATCATGACCATTTGAATCACAATATATTTTTGCTATAGAAAGTTGAAAATTACAAGTGTATCTCTCAAAATTTATGTTATTCATTAATACCCATTTTTGCATTTATTTTTGAATTACTTCAAATTTTCAAAGTCCAAATGTTAAAATTTGCAAAATAGCTAAAAACAAACTTTCAACCTTCAAAGTCTCAAGTTAAACAAATAAAAAATAAACTGATTATATATATATATATCATATTTTTAAGGACTGCAGTTTAAGTTTTCTATGTCAATTCAAAATATAAGAATATTTCAGATAAGTTAAAATTCGGACTTTTAAGGCTCAAAATTAAAAACTTCGATCATTCAATTTATAAGGTTTTGAGTTTTTTTTTGTGCTAGTTTATAAAAAGCACATCTTTGGACCTTCCGAAGTAAAACTCACATTGAAGGGAAATTTTGATGAAAGTTTTTTAACGTCCGTTGTTTCGAACGTCCTTAGACCTGAATTGAAAACGGAACAATTATGAAAATTGGGTGGGGTTCATAGGGAACATCAAACCTTGGAAAACGTACCCATTTTCACCACCACCTTCTAGAAGCTACTCGGTCCCATTATTCACACATTCCTAAGAATAAGGTGCTCCTACCTGTCGTTCCGGACACGAGCTTCGTCACACGTCCCTATCTAGAGTCCGTTTCTCTCTCTGGAAGATGAGTATTCTCTCTCTACCGCAAATGGATAAACTACGACTCCAATTTTGGCTTGCGTACAAACCCCTACTTCGTCACGTAACGGCAACGAAAATCAGAAAACCGTTTCAAAAATGAATAAAAATAGAGAGAGATATAAGTTGCAAAATAGGGTAAAACAGATTTAAAATTGAAGAAAAAAGTTGTGGAAATAGGAAAAAACGGTCCTTAAATTGAATAAAACTGGGTAAAGAGAGAGAGAGAGACGATAGGGGCAAATTAACGGTAATACATTATGACCATTTCTTAGTGAGCACGTAAACTATGCTCCCCCGACCGAGGAAGCATAATTTATGGGGGAGCAGAGTTTATTCTCACACACCCTACCTACTTGGAAGGATGGTCGGTTTCAATCAGAAATATAGGGAACTACTGTTTGAGAATTATTAGATGATTATTCGAGAATAAAATTTGAATTTAGAGTAGGAAGGATTGTTTCAATCTGAAATTTAGAGAACCGCTTGAGAACACTATTAGATAATTATTTTAGAATAAAATTCTAATTTAAATTTTTGACATTTAGATTTTAATATCTAAAAATTAAATGGTGTATGCTCAATCTCAAGATAAATTTTTTTTCATTTTTTTTTTTTTCAACTGCATAGATGGTACAGAATAAAACTTTTTTATCTAGGTAATCGGTTGAAGAGGTTGCATCCTCAAGTTCTAAACTTTTGATTCTAGATGGGTTTAACCTGAAGGAGTAAATGGACAATATACACCCGCAAAAGTATAATGTCTTTTGCCTTTCTTAATGTTTCCTGATGTGACCATATAACTGCGGCCCTTTAATGGTGTAGTTCAGCGGACTTCATTTATCTGGTGTGAGTGAGGCCGCATTATAACAGCACCATCTCTTTGCTTCTCTGTTGCTCCGGTATCCAAACTTCCTCAGAGATTGGGCTTCTTCTGCTTTTGAGGGAGACAGAGAGAGAGAGACTTAGAGAGAGATGGGAAGCAAGGGGAGGACGGCGATGGAGGTTGGACCAGATGGGGTGGCTCTTATAACCATCATTAATCCGCCTGTTAATTCTCTCTCCATTGATGGTAATGAAGTTGCAATTCCCTTGATTTATTTGTTCCTTTTTTTAAATTTTCCCCATCTTTTCCATCTCTGTGTCTGTTTTTTGTTTGGTCCCTAGCTTCGGAATTTTCTTCTTTGGCTTTTTTTACAACTTTCTGTGATCGCCTGATAATTTGATATCTATGTTTTCAATTGGTGTTACTTGCCTTGGCGTGCTTCATTTATTTTTGAATTAGTATTTTTTTTAATAATTTTTGTTTATTTTCTCCCCAACTTGGAAGTTATAGTGATTTTTCACAAGGTTGGTGGATTATTTATTTATTTCTATTGTTTATGGTGGGGCTTTTTTTTTTGATTCCCGCTATTTTGTTTTCTCAAAACCTGATGTTCCAATGTCTTTTATATTTTGTGGGGAAAATTCAAAAGCCTCTTTATTTATTATCACTTGTATCAGCTAGAACCCATATTTGCTTTGTCCTGATTTCACATGAGTAATCGATTTTAAACTCTCTATGTTTGATTACACATTATTTTGTGCTTATTTCTGATTTTTTTTCTCATTTTGTTTTTGACAACTATCATATTTATTATTTTTTCCTTGTGACGGCAAGCATGTTTTGAGCTTATTACCAAATATATTTGAAACCATGAGATCACTGTTCATCTATAAGAGCAAGTAAGTTGTATGATATCGATTTATATCTGCTCATGTAAATCTTCGGCATTGTATTTAGGTTGCTTGTCTGATTCGAGCTTCTTGGATATCTGTACTGTTGTATTAGCTCAGTTGAAATTCTTGGGTATAAAAAAAAAGGATCGTATTTAATCATTTCTTATAAATTTTAAGTTAGAACATCGCAGAATTTGTTGGAAAATAAATTGGTTTAATGATGGACCTTTCTGAGTTGCTTTTTTGATAAGTAACAATGACATAAATATTCAGATGTTTGTCGTAACATACTGTTCTCTTTTCTCAGTGTTGCAAAGTATAAAGGCAAATTATGAGGAAGCTTTACAAAGAAATGATGTGAAGGCGATTGTTATTACGGGTAATACTGATGACTGATATCTTTTCAGTAACCGGTTGGATAAATTTTTTGGGTTTAGTCTTACATCTTTCCTGTCTTTCTATGATCAGGTTCGAAAGGAAAATTTTCTGGAGGTTTTGACATCACTAATATAGAGGGAATTCAAATGGGAAAGGGTAATTTTATCATTATTTTGAACCACATTGAAAGGAACAAGATTGTTGTGTTTTAAATATGAACTGAAACTAAACTGCATTGAGTCTGTCTCCACCCTTATTGTACAGGGGCACAGCCAAAGAAGGGTTACATTTCTGTGGAAATCATCACCGATTTGTTGGAAGGTATTTCTTATTTCTTCCTTTTTTGTTTTTTTTTTTTGGGAAGTTCAGTTTTAGGAATCGAACTTGAGATGTAGCGTTGCTTAAGGTCAACTGCTAACCACTCACGCCCAAGCCCAATTCCTTCTTATATCGCTTTCTTTTAATTCTGTGATCGATGCCTTAGTTTGGCCTGTTTAGCCTAATACACTTATGTGGCCTGTTTTTTTTTTTAATTATCTCTTGGTTAGGGTAGAGGGAAAAAAAACAGAAAAAAAAACTTCCATTGATAAGAAAGTCAACGCTTTATGCTTTGTGGCAATTTTACTAAATGGGTTTGTATGTCAGGAGCACGGAAACCATCTGTGGCAGCAGTTGATGGCCTTGCTTTAGGTGGTGGACTTGAGATTGCAATGGTCAGAAACTTGGTTTTTGTTTTCAAAATCTTGTGCCTAAAATATTGATACTTTACTGCATGGATTGAAAGAACCAATGGCTATTCTAATATAGGTCAATATTTGCAGGCTTGTCATGCCAGAATCTCAACTTCTTCTGCTCAACTCGGATTGCCAGAGCTTCAACTAGGAATAATTCCTGGATTTGGAGGTAGACTGACAACACCAGTTCTTGGTTTTTTAAATGTGCATTCTGTATATGTAGATATGCCCCTTAAACATCATATAAACAAAGTGATTGTGTGAATCTGTTTGCGCATGCTATTTATCCAAATTGACAATATATTATAATCCAATGGATTCATCGTTAAGTATATCATAAGTCAATGGACTATGGAAATTGGAAATCCATGGTCCAATCGGATTATTGCCATCCAAGGAAACGATGGATAGTTTTGGAGGGAAGTGTGAATCACAAGCAGTGTCCTGTTCTGGTGTGTCTCAGTTGCTCTTCATTACTATCATATCATTGGATGGCCATGACCCCAATAGACTTTGGTTTTCTATAGACTATTGAGTTGTAGTATTACTTTTACACATCTGAATAGTGCAGTGGTCTATTTCAAGCTTTGTTAATTTGTGAGGAGTGACACCCCATAATAGTATTTGTTTGAGATGCTAACCCATATCTTTCTTTTCCTGAAAATACCGAAAGCTGTGAGATGTAAGTTTGGATACTTGAATCTTGAACGGTACACCACTTTATATAGGGAAAGCATTCCACTATTTAAGAGACAAAAAATAAATACACAGGTGGTGTATTTCAAGCTTTGTTAATTTGTGGGGAGTGACACCCCATAATAGTATTAAAGATGTGAGATATAAGTTTGGATACTTGAATCTTGATCGGTACACCACTTTATAAAGAGAAAGCATTGCATTATTTAAGAGAGAGAAAAATAAATAAAAATAAAAATAAAACCATTATAACAATTCTGTACCCCAGTTTAGTTTCTGAGATCTCTGTTTTGTCCTTCTTTTCCTTTTGAAATGAGAAACAAACACACTCCTCTTATCTATTTATTAAAATCCATGTCCTAGATTTTCTTGGATACTTGACAGCAATTCTCAAAGTCTGGAAATTTGTTGTCTTTGCAATTAAAGATACACAAGATGCCGGCCAAGCAAATTTAGTATTAACCTTTATGAAAATATTGATTAGTAATGGATGTCGGATACATGTCTATAAGCAATTTCTTGAGCATTTTTTTCTAGCATATTGTTATCAAGAACTTTTCACAATCTTTGGTCTTGTTTCTTACATGAGAGCTAGACGCATCTTGTACTTCCAGGCGGTCAATGGTTGTTGCACATGCAAAGATATACGGAACCTCAACTTTTCCTTTTTGGACTTCATGAATCCCTAAACAGTATATTCTATACATTTATGTGCTGTGCATAGTATTAGATCATCACCATCATCTTTCTCAAGAATGCATGATGGAGATGAATCAGTCTTTCACTCAACAGAGTAATGGGAGACTTTAACAGAAGAAAGGTCCATCTCCACCTTTAGTTGTTGAGACTGTCAGTGTAGATGATCTAAGAGTACTGTAGCCACTGTCTATGTAATGTGTATGGTATACTTTGCCAAAATGAAAAGATGCTAGCAAGGAAGTGTATTTTGGGGGTCGAGTTCCTTGTACCCCCTAGGTTGCCTGTTGCTTTGATATCATGAGTCTCATTGTGAGATGAATGGCTTAATTCATAGATTAGGCCATTTTCTATACCCTGGCAAAAGGTGGAAAGACATGAACACTGTGCAACCTAAAATGATGTTACATGGAGAGAAAGAGCACTGACTATTTAAAATGTGTCCAGATAACAGAAACGCCATTGAATGTAAATAATGCAAATGTGCATATGGATTACTTACACCCTAATTCAAAGGTGCAATGCTGAATTAAATTCCCTAATTGGAAAAAATGTGTTTGATTAAAAAATAAAGGGAAATTGACGTATAAATCCTTTTTTTTGGAATTAAAAATAATCCCCCTTCTTCATATTTTATGCCCAGGTTTTCTTTTTTGTCAGTTTTTTATTTTTCTTAATACAACTGTGGTCCAATACTTCGACTACTGGACTGTATGCAAGAGTTTTTCTTCCATAACTCAGTCCGGCACTTGAAGTACGGATCGCCTCTATTATTACTGCAAGTTCAGCACTTCCAGTACCAGCCCAACCTTTACCAACTTTGACTGGCTTTTTGCAAAAAAAGAAAAGAAAAAAAGGAAACAGTGAGGGAATATATTTTTTTCATCATTCAAACCAGTCTATTACCCCAAGTATCGAACTAGCTTCATGAAACATACAGCAAATATAGAGGACTTGGTATGGTACTTCCAAGTGCCGGACCGAATTTTGGAAGAAATAACTTTACAGGCAGTGCTGTACTCGAAATCGGGATCTAGCTTATTTTGGGCAAAATAGAAAATTGAAAAAAAAGGGTATCCCCAATGTAAAATATGAAAAATTGGGATTTACTGCTTAATTATGAAGAATACATTAATTTCCCAACAATAAAATAAGGAATTGAAATTTGAAATGGATGAACTCTAGTACCTTGTGTTCTTTTTTTCTTTTTTTAGCCTAGTGGGGATTTATGGCCTCACTGAGGGTATGGTCCTTGATAGAGGAAAATGGCAGAACAAGATTTGTTTAGCCGAACCCAAATAGTTGGGAAAAAGCTCTGATGATGATGATGATGTTATGCTCAGTTCAGTGACTGCTGAAAGTGGCTATTTGCTAATTCCTTGGGTCCAGAATATTATATTTTAACTTTAACATTGTGTTTCAAATGTTGCTTTCATAATGCACTAACGATTGGCATTTGCTTTTCAAGGCACTCAGCGACTTCCTCGCCTTGTGGGTCTTACAAAGGCCCTTGAAATGATCCTGGTAATTTCTCACTGTCTGTATTGTGTATTCTACATTTTTCTTTATCAACTTTTGTTTATGTGTAAGGAGGTCAAGTACACTATAGTCTAATAGAGTATGGAAAATCATAGTTCACTGAATCATCACTGTCAAAGGCAATGATGAACAGTGATAATGAGCCTGTGGCCCACCATTAGGGTCATCTCATTGTCCATCATTCATTGGACCATGATGGCCCCAATTGACTATGGTGTTCTGAGGTCCATTAGACTATATTACAGTTTCTCAAAGAATAAGTTCCTCTACTTTATGACAAAATTAGATGAGATGTCTGGTATCATTTTGATGTGTAGCTGTCCAAGCCAATAAAGGGTGAGGAGGCCCATAATCTTGGGCTTGTGGATGAATTGGCCCCACCAGATAAATTGGTGAATACTGCCAGACGTTGGGCGCTGGACATTGCTGAGTTCAGAAAGCCATGGGTCGCCAGTCTCTACAAAAGTGACAAGCTGGAGCCCTTAGGCGAAGCAAAGCAGATACTCAAGTTTGCAAGAGTTCAGGCACAAAAACAAGCTGCCAATCTCCAACATCCATTGGTCTGCATTGATGTTATTGAAGAGGGTATTGTTTCTGGTCCCCGAGCTGGACTTTGGAAGGTACTAGTTGTTGTCATGTATGTTTAATTGAAATAAAAAGGTCTAACGATGTAGAAATCTAAAGAGGAAAAAAAAGATAGCAAAGATGATCACACAAGAGTTTGAATGTTGAAATTGATGAAAGAAAAATAGAAGTAGGACAATGATGGAAGATGAACTTGAAGATAATTTTTGGTTGACTTTAATTTCAACAAAAAAAAGAAGAAGAAAAAATTTGTGTGATTTTATGGATCAATGAAGTTCAGGAAGTTATTCAAAATTCAGTAATCATACTACTATTTTAAGACTTTCAGTTCTGAATGGAAAAACTGGCTATAATAGTTGGAGAATATTCTGTACTCTGGACAATGCTCCTTTTCTATTCCATCTTACCGAAAGCTAATGGTGTTTAGGGTTTAGATATTTATGTTATGCTTCCTCTTTTGGATGAAAATGGAAGTTATTTTTTGTTTTGAACAAAGTCCAATGTTAATCACCTACGGTATGCTGATAGTCCATAGAAGTAAGGATAATGAGAGAGAGAGAGAGAGAGAGAGAGAGAGAATAACACAACCCCGTTGGCCTTTAGAACTCTCTCCATTACTAGCAAACTTCCTAGGAAGGTTATGTCCCTTATGCACTATGTTTTTCCATAGTCATGGGTTATTAACCCCAATTCTTTTCAAAGGATGGTGTGTGCTCAACCTTTACATGACATTCTCCATTTGCAGGAGGCTGATGCTTTCCAGCAATTGCTGTTCTCCGACACTGCAAAGAGCTTGGTTCATATTTTCTTTGCACAGCGTGCTACCTCAAAGGTATTGCTTCTTTGAGTGTGCTATATAGTTAAAACTCTGATCTTTGTCTTTTTTCTTTGTTGGATAAAGCCTAAACTTATTCGCCATTTTGCTATCTATTATATCCTTTTCTAAAGTCGAGAAACCTTGTACAGGTGCCTGGAATAACTGACCTGGGCTTGATGCCAAGAAAGATACACAAGGTTGCTATTATTGGCGGGGGGTTGATGGGTTCTGGAATTGCAACTGCCTTGATACTGAGTGGCTATCCTGTCCTCGTCAAGGAAGTAAATGCTCAATTCCTACAGGCAGGAATGGACCGTGTCAAAGGTGAGAATTTAAATAATAATGCATATCTGTTTTATTGGCAAGTTGCATTTGGGTATACAAGCTCCATCCAATTGACCCATGGTTTCAACTGTGTTTAAAAACATGTACCCGGGCATGAATTATGTAGAGGGCAGGTCGGAGTGGGCTCACTGAGTACTGTCTCTGACAATTCATGACTCGAACTGGACTCACTCTTATTTTAAAGACCTGGACAGACTCGATCAGGACTTGGATCAGCCATGTCGCGGTCATCCGAAACTGGCTTCCTGCCGTTTTCGAGTGACTTAGGCGAGTCCGACTTGCCTGGTCTCATAGAGTTTTTTGACTGTGGTTTCAAATCCAAAAAAAATTTACTGTGGTTCTTCCTTTTTTCTTTCTTTCTCTTTTTTTTTTTTTGTAGAAACAGTATTGACTATAAAGTTCTCTTTTCATGTTGATGCTCGGTTTGCAGCAAATTTACAAAGTCGTGTCAAGAAAGGAAAAATGACACAGGAGAAGTTTGAGCGGACATTCTCTCTGATTAAAGGTGTTCTTGATTATGAAAGCTTTAGAGATGTGGACATGGTCATTGAGGTGAAAATTGGTTTTATACTTTTAGGAAATTCAGTTATGTGATTCTTTATAATTAGATACTGTTCTTCTATGAACAGTTGAATAATCTAGAACCTGCATTTCTAGTGATGAGATCTGCCATTCACTCTTTAAAATAGTACAAAAAGGACAATAGTGATAATCAGCGGTTTAAAAAACGGATTGGTGCCCTGGATCGGGCACCCCAAAAACCCATCCGGATCGGTGAATTCGGCGATCCGGATCGGGAATCGACTGAATCGGTCGGTTTTAGTCTTAAAAAAAATCCAAAAAAATTATTAAAATTCATTATAATTGTTGTTTTTTAAGAATCCAATAAAAAATGGGGGTACTCTATGATCCAAAATTATTACAACCTAACTAATTATAATATTATATACTTAAATTGAAATTGTTGGTTTACATTTTATAATTATTTTATTATACAAATGATAACAAATCCAAAATATCTTATAATATCATCCAACTTAAAATATATTATTGACAACTTTAAGAAAAAATAGTACATTGCATAATTTATAATGCAATTTTTTTTCCAAAAATCTAGTTTTTTAGGTTTCTAAAATAAATTTAGTGGAAAAGATTGTTAGTATAGAGAGAGAGATAGATATTTCAAATAGCTGCAGTGTATGAACCCCATCTTTAAATTAATATTCTTGAATTTATGTTAAAGACCATTGTGTTATAAAAATAAAAAAATATAATTAGACCATTTATTCTGAAGCAAAAAAAAAATCTAACCAAGTCATTCATATATGAGAGAGAAAAAAAGAGCTAACATGCTTCAAGCTTATATTGTATTACCTTTATATATCTAATTTAAGCTTATGATAATCGCAGCTCAAATGCATGTTTGAAAAATATGATACTTGTTGTATTAACTTTTATTTATTTTTTGACAAGAAATACTTGTTGTATTACTTTTTTTTTTTTTTTGACAAGAAAAATAAGAATATGGTGTTGCTTAGGTACCTATTATTTATTTTTTGACAAAAATAATTTGTTTTTGACAAAAAGAACTTGTTTTTGACAAGAAAAATAAGAAGATGGTACTTTTTATTTTATTTTATTTTTTGATAAAAAAATTTGTTTTTGACAAGAACAATAAGAAGATGGTACGTTTTAATTTTTTTAAAACAAAATGATGCCCGAGAGAATTCAAACTAGAGACCTCTGCCATCAAAGACGGACATGATAGCCACTACGCCACAACATGTGATAGCTTTCATAATAAAATCATATAGTACCTTTTCAAACTGGCAGTGGGAATTGTCCCACATCGAAAAATTCAAGGACTGTTAATGGGTATAAAAGACCTGAGGACGCTCTTATCAATAGAAAATGCATGGGCATGGGGCCTCTTGATGGTCGTGGTGACTATCCATAATAGATTAAACCTTGTTTTTAAAAACAATATCCCAATTACCCTCGGGCAGTTCGGCGGTTTACTATTGAGACTAGAGCGGACCTGCCTGTTTTCCGGTAGAACCGGGCAGTTTACTGTAGAGACTCTAGCAGACTCGTCGATTCTTGTCTAGACTCGCCCGATTTCCGATATTGCATAGGAGTCGGCACGGCGTAGCCGATTCCCGTGACGACCCGGGTGATTCCGGGTCAACTCGCCGACTTTTAAATCCTTGGTGATGATATAACTAGAGGAATGCATGTACTCACAAAAGACTTATATGAGGTGTCTTTATTCTTTATGTTTTGGTTTCTATCTACAGTTAATCAAAAAATAGTGTGCTTGTATTTCATGTTCTAATTCATTGTTCTCCGCACCTATCCTGATCAGGCTGTTATTGAGAAAGTGTCGCTCAAGCAACAAATTTTTGCGGATCTTGAAAAGTACTGCCCACCCCATTGCGTCCTTGCTACTAATACTTCCACAATTGACTTGAATTTGATTGGGCAACAGACAAACTCTCGTGAGCGCATAGTTGGTGCTCATTTTTTCAGGTGATTTCCATTTGGCAACTGTTAGTATTATTGCATGCATGAGCATGCTTCATGTTCTCCATTTCCTGACTAAGTCCCATATATGTTCCATTTTGGAAATTTATGCTTATTACATGGTCACCCCATGTTTGTCCCCCCATTTTTTCTGACAATGCTATTAAGCTCCATTTTAGAACAGATATGCTTTATGTGGCCACCCCATTTTTTATTCTTCACCATTCTCTGACTGAGTGATTATGTATTGACAGCCCTGCTCATATCATGCCACTCTTGGAAATAGTGAGAGCAGAAAGGACTTCACCCCAAGTGATTGTTGACCTGATGGATGTTGGAAAGAAAATTCGTAAGACTCCCATTGTGGTTGGAAACTGCACTGGGTTTGCAGTCAACCGGATGTTCTTCCCTTACACGCAGTCGGCTCTCCTGTTGGTTGATCATGGTCTTGATGTTTATCAGATTGATCGTGCAATCACCAAATTTGGAATGCCGATGGGACCGTTCAGGTATTGAAATTGTGAATTTGCCATATTTTGGACTTTATATAATGGAAAACATTGCCTGGAACACCAGGCATAGGTTATGCAGGTGTGCAAATTTAAATATCAGGACAGCCCCTGAAGCCATAAACTATGTTGACAATTTTACCCATGTCAAGAGTGCTATTCCATCTTTTCTCCCATACTTATCATAGTTAATGCACTGGACTAGTCCAGGGGTAAAATAGTTTGTTATAATAAATTGTCCTGATTTTTAAAATTCTGGACCACCTACATAATTATGGAGTTTTTCCAGGCATAATTGTGTATTTATACAAGTTTCTATGGAAAATACATGGTCAGTTATAGTCTGGATTGTCTCAAATGGCAGCTTTTAGCTTTTCACATCCATATGGTTACAATAAGTCCCTGTCTGGACTGTCCTAAATTACTGCTACTGGAAACTCCAGCCCCTCTTTTCATGGTCTTATGCTAATCTATACTAGTTTATTTGATGAATTAAAAAGTATATTATGATTTCCTCTTTCTTTTTTTAGAAAAACTACAGAAGTTCCCTTACAATCAAAATGGCCATGATGCGCCTTTTTTTTCCATATACAACCCAACATACCAGCTGAGATTACTTTGTGTTTTAGAGGTTTTTAAATTTTGTAGTCCATTTGGAATTACTTCAACAGAATGCTTTTATCGACTCTTTTTCCTTTTGCCCTTCTTTTATTTTTTTGGCAGCAGGTGCATTGTTCAATTTGTAAATACATATCATCATGCACACTTGTTATTTGGCAACTCAACAACCTTTTAAAACTACCCATTCTGCTAGCAATGAGACATTCATATGGCGATCGATTCATATGGCGATCGATAGCGAGCTATATTTAGGCTGGTTCTTCCCTGATCTTTTATTTGTTATTCATGCAGGTTGGTTGATCTGGTTGGTTTCGAGGTGGCAGTTGCGACAGGCATCCAATACCTGGAAAACTTCCCTGAAAGAGTTTACAAATCAATGCTGATACCGATTATGGCTGAAGACAAGAGGGCAGGTCAGCTTGATTTTCTTCTTGCGTGTGTTTGTTCTTCGAGCTCTAAGTGAGTTCCTTTTATTTTGTTGACCAGTGCAACTTTCATTGATGATTGCAATGCCTCTCTTCAGGTGAAAAGACCAAAAAAGGTTTCTACATATACGATGATAAGCGCAAGGCCCGTCCAGACCCTGCAATAAAGAAATACATTGAGAAGTCACAATCAATGGCTGGAATCAATCTCGACCCCAAGGTATATTTCATTGGCCCGTACTCTTCTTGTTGGTATTCCAAATTTCTAAATCCTTTACACTATTATACCTCAGATTGTAGACTCTGGGATAACATTCTTCCTTCACTTATTGCCATCTCTTACACAGTTGATGAAATTGTCGGATAAAGATATCATAGAGATGGTTTTCTTTCCGGTCGTCAACGAGGCTTGTCGTGTCCTTGCTGAAGGAATCGCAGTTAAAGCATCTGATCTCGACATTGCCTCTGTTATGGGCATGGGGTTCCCCCCATACAGGTATGTTGCTATCAAAAAATTTACTGTGGTCCTATGGACCATGGAGAAGTAGTACCCGAGGGTCATGGCTACTAATCATATGATGTATGGATGGATGGGAGAAAGATTGCGGGATGTGGGATCCAAAAGAGCAGAACAATTGGCTGCTACGATATGTCCTATCCCAGCATCATATAATCGGATGGCCATGACATCAATGGACTCAGTTCCCATACTCTTTGGGATTATTGATATACTTTTCCACGTTGCTATTTCCCCCACTTTTCAGAACAATAGGGTTAACAGGATAATCTGTTTTGTGCCAAGATTTGTGTATATAAACTAAGATAATTTTGCCACAATGGAATTAGGGGAGGAGTTGTGTTTTGGGCCGATTCGTTTGGAGCCAAGTACATCTGCTCAAGATTGGCGGAGTGGTCGAGAACATATGGTGGTTTCTTTAAACCATGTGCCTACTTGGAAGAAAGGGCAGCTGGTGGCTTATCTCTGGTAATGTCTGTTCTTGTTCACCCATGTCTTAATTTGAGGTTATGGTTTAATAATTTAACACAGTTGGGTGGCTGCGTGGGGATTGGGCAGGGGCATGAGGGAGGGTGAGAGAGATTTTCAATATAATTGGATCACAAGCCAATCTATATACCCATGTTAGCTTATGCGGTGCCCGAAAATGCATCTTAAATTTGCTAAAACTTTGGTCCATGGTTTTTGGTCCTCATGGCTTTTGACTATACATCTCGAGCAGGAATAGACAGGGACACCATGTTAACCTCATTGTGCCATATCTGGCTGATAGTCTCCTTTACTGCTTTTATTTTTAGCAGTGTTCGCAAAACCGGCCGATCTAACTGCTAACCACTTAGTTAGATCAGAACCGATCACACTGATCGGTTCCAGTTTTGGTGATCAACCAGTATTTTAAACGTTAAATAGAATACTACTTTAAATTGAAAACAATTGTTTTAGAATGGATTATTGGTTAGCGTTGAGGATTGCCTTTTAAGTGAATCAGGGTTCAAATCCCTTTGAGCCAACGCTTTTTTCTTTTGGTTGCGTTTTTCCTTTATTTCATTTCGAAGGTTCAAAAAATTTACCTCCTCCATGTCGAAGGTTCAAAAAATTTTCCGGCTCAAAAAATTTGCCAGCCCAATAGAATTGAACTAGAAAACTTCTAGTAAGAAAGTCCTTTATTTATTTCGAAGGTTCAAAAAATTTACCTCCTTCATTTCGAAGGTTCAAAAAATTTACCTGCCCAATAGAATTGAACTAGAAAACTTCTAGTAAGAAAGTCCTTTATTATTAGACCCACTAACCAATACACCATTTATTATTTAGTTGATAAAAAGAAGGGTTTATATTATATGTAATTTAATTTTGTTTTCATTTTCTTTTAAAAAAAGAGTTTGTCAAGTTGATTTTTTTAACACTATTTTAATATTCATTACATTATGGTAAAGATTAAAAAAAAATTAGTCATATAATCACTTTTATATTTTCTCTTTTTTTTAAGAAAATTTTAAAAATAACCCTGGGGAAAAATCGATTTGTTAAACTCCATTTTTTCATTAACTTTCAGCTTCATTTGAGTGTGTTTTGTTTTAATCACATTCTTATATGCTTTTCATATTTTAGTAGATTTTTTTTTGTATCTTTTTTTTTTTTTTCTAACACTTTTTTATCGTTCAGGACTTTTTCGGTTAGAACGGTTGAATAGGCCGGTTTATCGGTTGGGCCGGTTAAATCTCTTTCGGGCCCATGTCCGGTTAACCGTTCCGGTTCGATTTTGTGAACACTGATTCTTAGGGGTATCACTAATTTGCTGATGAGACCATCATCTTCTTGTTTCTTACTCTGATTGATTATCAATCTGATTTGCAGAGTGCCCCACTCCAGCAAGCAAGACCTCGAATGTAAGTCTCAGCTTGAAGAACATTAGCAGTTGGTTTAATGTTTGCTTCTTTTTCTTGTCCATTGGCTCCAAATCACCCTATAGATCGAAGGGTGGGCCAAGGATACAGTCAATAATGGGAGGGAAGATCTAGAGAAGCCATTGTTGTTTTCTGCTAATAACCGACCACGTAACAAGCCTAGTTTTAGTTGATGAGTTCATATAATTGGCATATAAGGACTGCATGTATTTCTAATGAACTTATATAATGTAATGCTGGTGAATGGTATGGGAGTTTCTTTAATGTCGGTACTTTAATTATAGTAATGCAAGTCTTATACGGCTATAGAAATATGTGCGAGCTGGTTTAGATTATATGAGTCAATACCTCATTCATAATTAGTATCAAATGAAATCAGACAACAGAGGCGTACATTGGTTGTAAGTAGATCAAGGGCAGGGCGATCACAAAAAAGCACATTTTAAATCAATAAGATTGATAGTCAAATCATTAAAATTACAGATTTTATGTGAAATATTATTTTTTAAAAGCCGGAGCATCTCGGTATTGAGAGAGAAGTTTATCCTGTTTATCTTGAAAGGAAAAGTAATTCGTGTGTCGCGGGACCCCCTTTCATAATAGCATGCATTGAACACTCATCTGGCAGTCAGGGGTGTTAAAACTATATTAAAATAACAATAATAATTATTATTATTTCGTATTTATTCTAATTATGGTTTAGATTTTCAATCTTTAGGATTTGAGATCCAAAATCTATTTCTAAAATAGATTTTGAAGAGAAGATTCATTTAAAACCTTTTCCCGTGATAAAAGTAAAAAGATAAATGATTATATGCTCTTATTGAGCATTTTACCTATGATTGTACAAAGGTAATAAAAATTTTCCGGTTAAATCTAATTATTTAGAACTTTAGATACCCTAGTTCTTTGGTCTTGTGAGAATATTCGCTCTGTGATTTAAAAGTAATTTTAGAAGTTTCAAATAATAAACGCTCATTGAGTACTTTTGTCTACGTGATTAAGGGCACGTTTGGTTTACGTGAAAACAACATGACAGTATTTTCGTATCAATCGGCAGCTGTGAAGAAATGCACTGAAACCAATTGATGTGAAATTACTCACACATGAAGGAGGTTTTTCATGTTAAAATATTTCTCGGAAACTATTTTCATGCAACTCAAATGTGTCCCCACGCTACGCTTTGCCTCTGCACAAGCTCGTCTTTTTCATGAAACTACGTGAGGCACCTCTTGCAATTTAACATCTTCCTAGCTGAGAGGGGCGAGCTGGTCCATCTCTTGGCTAGGTCCTGCCTGGCCTGGGTAGGGCCTAATAGATTTCAAAAAATTCTAATAAAAATAGGCGGGGCAACGCCATGCCCAGGAATGGACCCCCATCCTATCACCGGCCTTGACTTGATCCTCAAGCCAAATTTAACCATGGGCCCTGAGTCCCTGACTATACCAGGCCAGGCCACCTGGCCCTTTGCCATAAAATGTCGAATTACATAGAACACCAAGCAGCCTGGCCCATTGCCATAAAATATTGAATTCCCTGTCACACCAGGACCAGGATATGAAGCTGGGCATCCCAGCCCAGTTGTTCCTTCATTTCCCCTTCCTCAGATGCCGTTACATCTCCCAAAGTGTGATCGATAATGGAAAGTCCGGTCTAGAGTGTGTTTGATAATAAAAAGTTCCTAAACCTTCCAAGAAATCATTAAATGGAGAAATTGGAGCTTCCATGCCAACCCATGGAAATTGGTGGAAAAGGCTTCTTCCACCAATCAGCAACATCCCTAGGGAAATCTTTCAAAAATTTAACGGTATGAGAACTCTTTGAGAAAGTTATATCATCATTGTGCTGAAACCACATTTTTTGTTGTTTTTTTTTTTTTTTTTTTCAATTTTTGTATTCCATACATTTTTATCTAAAACATATGTAGAGTTGCAGATGGGAACCACCTTCAAAGAGTCCTCGCATAAACAGTGGCTCTCGTACCATTACGCCCCCCCCAATTGTGGAAGGGTTCGAGTATTCGTAGACACATTTATCATCGGGGTTTAAATTATCTTGCAAAAAACTCAAAATGCTCAATAACAAACTCATTTATTTAGTTTTTTTTTTTTTTTTGACAAGGTTACATAGGAATGCAACTTGAGATGCAGTGCTATGAAAACCCACTGTTACTGTCTTGATCCAAACCCAACTCCTACAAACAACTCATTTATTATTGTAGGATTTACTTTTTAAGTTTCATTTCAAAAAGATACTCTTTGTAAATTCTATGTAAAAACTCTCATATTAGCCCCATTAAGGATTGGGAGTCTTGAACACAATGGCACTTTGACAATGTGGCCCGTAGTTTGATCTGAATTACAAAAGTATCTTTATTATTCAAAGTTTGGATTATCCAATAACTAAAATACTCCGAGTTGTTTAGGATTGACAGTACATGACCAGTTGTATTTTTGTCATTTGATAATTCTGTATAGCCCACCCTTACAAATCAAATGTACTTTTATAGTTTAGCTCGAGCAACTTAAGTGGCACCTTTTCTAAAACTGCCCATATTGTTCCGAGTACATGATAATATTGGAAATTGGAAGAAAAAAAACAACAAAATTTAAGGATGTATCTTTATGAAATTAAACTTTAAAAATAAACGTTGCATGTCAATTGTGATCTTTTGAGCCCCTTATGATTCTATGAGATAATTTGAGCCCTTTTATTTTTTTAATAATTTTTTTTTGAATTTTGAGTTTGGTCAATGGAATAAATGCAACCATCAAATTTCACATCCAATGATCAAAATTACTCGCGATCAACTTGTACCAAAAGTAAATGGTCTCATTATATACTTTTCCATACTTCTATCATGTTTTTTCTTATGTTTTTTCCCTAGACTTTTAGGGTTTGCCCTTGTTCTTTTTGGATATGTTTGGGCTTCTTTTGAGCTTTGCATGGACTTGCCCAAGTAACTCAGCCATGCCAAGGACTGAGTTTGTGGGCAGCACTGAGTAATAAGATGCTAGCTAAGAGTATTTTTAAGACCACATATTTTGCTTGTGTACCCTAGAAAATGCATCCTCACTCTAGAAGTGCCTAAAAACATGTCACAGCCTAGGATTGAACTGGTGTTTACAAACCTGCCAATCCTAAATAAGAATCATTGTTTCAAATCAAGAATTGGTCCTGGACAAACCGATTGTCAGTCAGAACAAGGTATCAGTCTAGTTTCGGGTGACTCACCGGGTTCCCCTGAGGGAATCAGGCAATCTAGTTAGATAACTCAATGATCCAGATAGTCTTGTTCCTCGATAGCGTACTTAGGGACAGACCTCTCTAGGAATTCGTTTTTCCTCACAGGGTTGGAATACTAAGAGGCTGTTTGGATACATGAGATGCCTGTCTTGGGTATAGGCCTCTTTAGGAATTGGCGTGGTTGAGGATAGGGGTGTATGCTGTTTGGATAATATGGTAAGAATTTTGGAAGATGCATGTTGACTATTTAGAACGCCTTAGTGTATCCAAGATTTCAGTATTGCTTTTTTTTTTTTCTTATTTTTTGCTATCTTCTTTAATTTTAAGATTTAATAATGAACTTCCCATTTTCTTTCCATTATCCAATGCTGTTTCTTGACCTTGATGAAATAATTATTCGTCATTTTCCTTTCCGATATTACCTCTAGTTAGCAATTTTACATCCCAAGATTTTTGTTGTCCTCAATCTATTACAAACATCTGAAATCTTCGAAAGGGTAAACCAAGCAACACGTTTTTCATAAAACTACACCATTTGGTAGTCACTACGTCCCTATTGAGGGAAATAATACTGGCATTCGTATTTCATTGTTCTATTTATCTTCACAGGAAATTTTAAAAACGAGAAAGAAAATTATTAGAACCACTAACAACTTAAAAAAAAAAAAAAGCAACTAGAAATTTTAAAAGAAAAAAGAAAATCATCATAACTATTGGGAGCAATCAAGCCCATTAAAATTAGGGTGCGAGATGAGACTCTAAACAATTAAAGTAAGGCACACCTTCAAATGGTATCAAAAAAGAAGAAAGAAAATCATTAGAACAATCAAGCCAATTAAAATTAGGGTGTGGTTTGTAGATTCTAAACCATCAAAATAAAACACACTTTTAAATAGTGTCAAAAGATGTTATTTCGGTGCTGTAAATCTTTGTGATGCCCTGAAAACCTATTTTCAAAATTTAATTATAAAATTTAAAGCTTCAAAAAGAATATAGATTGAGCTGAATCGATATAGATTGAGCCGAAAACTTATATATACTTGAAAATCGTGAAAATTAATGGTCCAAAAAATGCATTACAAGATGTATTGTTTCTAAAACTAAAAAATTCATTTTTTCTCATATTCATATATCTTGTAGCCGAAATGATCCATTTGAGTATTTTTGGGCATAGTAAGAACCTCTTCTAGTAAAGTTTTGAGATGTGCCTTAATTTGATTGTTTAGAGCCTCACTTTTCTAACAGAGAAAAAAAAAGGAGAAGAAAAAGAGAAAAATTGTAAAGTCGACCTCCGCCTTTCTTCTCTGTTGGGAAACAGCAGTTGAATCTCCTATGTTCTTCTCCAACAATCGGGCGCAATGGCTCAAGGATGAGGATTCAAAAACCCCCTCTCCATTAGGCTCTGCCCGAGATCGAAGATCACCCATGTAACCCAAGCTTCAAGCCCTAATTTTAAACAGAAGATGCAGAGACTCAAATCATATGAGCCCTTTATATAGAGCCTTCTTTGGAAATCTGCAATGTGGGTCATCCAAATTTAGAGAGAGGAGAGAGAGATCCTAGGGTTTGTGGTACAGGTATTAGAAATGGGGTTTAAACTTTACAGGTATAATTGACAAATGAACTCTGAAAATTTTGAAAGAGGTGTTTTGTCCATGGGCGTTTTTGTCGTTCTCAAAACCAATTCGCGCGGGAAATATGCAGTACCTGCAAAATTTAAAAAATGCAAACCCCCTTTTATGTCATTTTACTCTCTAAAACCCGTCTCTCTCTCTCTCTCTCTCTCTCTCTCTCTTTCTCATTTTTCCCTTCCCAAAGTTTCTCCGTCCATGGCTCATTTCTCTCTCTAGCCTACCTCCCTCTCTGTTTCTCTCTCTAGCAACTCTCGTTTTCTCTCTCTCTCTAACACAAAGCAGGTGGTTCACTGGCCATCAACACCCCACCTCAGTTGGAAACTATCGCCATGAACTCCCAGCGCTCTGAAACCCCAACCCTAACTGAAGAGGAAATCATCCAGTTAGCAGAGTCATCTGCCTTCTCTCTCACCCCCTCTGATCCTCTTCTCAATCACCTCCTCTCAGCTCCGGAGTGCCTCATTCTTTCTCTTCTATCAAAATCAGAGTCCCCTTCTCTCTTCACCAAATCCATTTTCTCCCTCCTCTCCCCAGTTGCCCGCTCTTCCCCCGAGTCTTCCTCTTCCCGTATCCTTCTCTGTGTCCTCCTCGAATTCATTTCACTCACACACCATGAACGCACTTCCCTGGACACTTTCTCTCTCATTGCGGAATCCCTTGATGCCCTCCCCGTTGTTTCTTTCTCCAAGATCTCAGAATCCCTTCTCTCTCTTCTTGACTTGATTAGCGAACCTGATGATGCCCTCCCTCTAGAGCTATTGCCCAGTCTTCTCTCTGTTATCAAGTCCTCCGGAAGCAATGGCCCCGATTGTGCTGATACTTTCCTAAGGTCAATCCTTGATCGTAAATGGCCTCGGGTGCTTCTGATAAAAATGGTTCTCTTATTAAGAGACCTACCTCTGAATCAAGCACAAGCTGAAGATTATTTAAAGAAGGTTTTTGTTGAAATGGAGGAGGTGGATTTGCAGGACCTTCCATCCATTGTTTACCACCTTTTGATCATGGCTTCGAAGGGGTTAAAGAAGCCTGTGGTTTTGGGGATTATTGGGTTTTTTGGGAAGATAGAGAGAGGGCCTGGTATAATTTATCGACAGGTTCAGGGAACTGTTCTGCTTCATGTGAATTTTTCGGTTAAGCAAGACCCGTCTATTGGGCACGAGTTGCTTGGTCTCGTTAAATCTGATATTGAATTGGTAACTCATTTCAGTGTTGCAATGTTGCTTTCGGTTGCGAGGATTAGAAGGTTCACTGAGACTGCGATTTCTCTCTTGAAATCAGTGGTTACGCGATCTCATCGAGAACATAGGCTCGCGAGGTAATGATCAAACATAGTGTGCATGATAAGCAGGAGTGGGTTTATCTTCGTGGCAATCTTAATTGAACTTATAAGGGCTACTGTGATAATTGATTACTTCTGTTTTGGAACTCAATGTTCAGTTGATGATATTTTTATAGTATTGTGATGCAGTCTTACTCAATTTTGATTGTTCGGTTGTATTGGTTTTTCCTTTATGGAGTTGAAATCATGGTGCATTATTGGTTTCCGAGTTCCCTGTTTTTATTCATTTCTGACTAAGTACAATTCTTAAGTTCATAAGTATATAATTTGGATTGTTTAGTGGTATTTCTTGAATCATTTTTGGTCCTTAAATCATGTTCAGATGTTGAGTTTTGTTATAGATTTTATGCATGCAAGTTTTTGTTCTTGTTTCATTTCCAGGCAGTATTAATTCTGCATTGTCATTGTTTGTTTAAGTTTTATGCAGTTTGATTGTTAATTGGTCATCATCATCATCACTCATCATCATCATTTTAGCCTTTTCCCAATTAATTGGGGTTGGCGACATGAATCCTGGTTTTTCATTCTGCTCTATTGATTGTTAATTGGTTTTTTTTGTTTATTTCATTCAGAAATAACATTCTGATGAGTGGCTTTTTTTTTTTTTTTTTTAATGGTTTCAACATTCTGATACTTTCTCCATTAGCTATGAATTTTACTGGTTGATTTGTTAATTTTGCAGTTTCTTTGATGTTAATTGCTGGAATTTGAATCTCATGACGCAGTTCATGTATCTGTGAAATCCCTGAAATCTGTAGTTTTCAAATCATTCTGTTTATTAATCTTGCAGAGATTGTAAGTGGGTCCCTGATCTACTCAAAGATCATTGTTTACTAACAGTCAGAAGGATTGAGCAGGCTGTTTTGAGAACTGTAAAATTTCCTCTCTCTCTCTCTCTCTACTTCTCTCTTCTCTCTCTCTCTCTCTCTCTCTCTCTCTCTCTATGCTATCTC